CCATCCTCTCCCCGTCCTCCCGGACCCCTTCTCCCCTCCACTCTTCCCCATCCTCTCCCCCTCCTCCCGGACCCCTTCTCCCCTCCACTCTTCCCTGTCTCCTTCCTCCCGGACCCCTTCTCCCCTCCACTCTTCCCTGTCTCCCTCCTCCCGGACCCCTTCTCCCCTCCACTCTTCCCCATCCTCTCTCCCTCCTCCCGGACCCCTTCTCCCCCCCACTCTTCCCTGTCTCCCTCCTCCCATCGCCTTTCCTTTTTTCTTCCCACTGCCCTGTCTCCTGCCTCCTCTCTCTCTGCCTTAATCAGTTTCTCTTCTCCTATCCCTATAATCTCTATGAAACTGCTAACTTTTCTCGGACCTGGGGTCTTAGTGTCCAACCCAGCTTACTCTCCCCCGCCCCCTCCAACCTACAGCACGAGGGATTCCTCTGCAGACATCTGGGGGAGGGCGTGCGGGAGAGCACCCCCAAGAGAGGTGCCCGGTTGCCCCACTTCCTCCTTCTCACCAGCATCTCCTGGAAAGGTGAAGATTTTGCTCTTGAGAAATCTCTCTAGGGAGTCAGAGGTGTGGTTTGTGCTTCCTTAAGTGACAAGATCAGACTCAATGCAGGAAATGCCCATTCTCCCCCTCCCACCTGGCCCCAGCACCCCCTCCCACCTGGCCCTAGCCCAGACCCCCACCTCTGGGGCAGATGTTCCACACTTGGTCTCTTTCAAACCTTGTCTCTTCCTTTTATGAAGGAGCTGCAGGACATCGCGCGCCTCAGCGACCGTTTCATCTCCGTGGAGCTGGTGGACGAGAGCCTGTTCGACTGGAACGTGAAGCTACACCAGGTGGACAAGGACTCGGTGCTGTGGCAGGACATGAAGGAGACCAACACCGAGTTCATCCTGCTGAACCTCACCTTCCCCGACAACTTCCCCTTCTCTCCTCCCTTCATGCGGGTGCTCAGCCCGCGCCTGGAGAACGGCTACGTGCTGGACGGAGGCGCCATCTGCATGGAGCTGCTCACGCCGCGCGGCTGGTCCAGCGCCTACACCGTGGAGGCCGTCATGCGCCAGTTCGCCGCCAGCCTGGTCAAGGGCCAGGTAAGCCCGGGCGGGGGCCACCAACCCCGGCCGTCCGGCCGGCTCAGCCGGGTTCTGTCTACACAGCCTCGGTCGGAGAGGTGGCCCGGGACGCCTCCGCTTCCCGGCCCTAAGCGTCTCCTGTCCCCACCTCCCATCCCGTCTCTTGGTCTCTAGTTTGTTCATGCCCTCCCGGTGCCTCTGTAAGTCTCCCTCCGTCTCGCTTCTCCTCCTCTTCTCTCCCGCCCCATCCTCTCCCCCTCCTCCCGGACCCCTTCTCCCCTCCACTCTTCCCCATCCTCTCCCCGTCCTCCC